TAAGGATCATTTTGACAATGGTGTCGTCTGTACCTGGAAAACTCAAAGGAAAAACTTCTCTGTTTTGAGCATATCGTTGTCATGTAAACATACATACCCTTAGAGGGAACATTGATGCCGTGGCTCTTGATACACCACAAAGACTTGCTTTCCTCCTGGTCACATATGCACCAGTGAGAAGCGCAGTTGCGCACCAACAATTTGTCCTCTTTTGAACTATGATGTATCTCCCATTATGTTGTGTGAATTGCAATGTTTTATGTGCAGCTGTGCTATTGCTCTGCTAATTCAATCTCCACACTTTGCTCTTACTGATGGAATGTGCAATCAGTGGAGATTGGCCACGACTAGGCCACGTATATTAGTGCTGTCAAATCGATTAATCTTGATTAATCGCATCTAAACATACAAGTTTGTGTATAATAAGGGTGTCACGATTTCGATTTTAGATCGAAATCGACTGAAATTAATTCACAATCTCGAACTTCGAATTAAAAATTGAAATCGTCGATGCTGTCACGCCCCCATGTCACGTCCGGTCGGCGTGCCAAGTGGAAAAAAAACACGTGTGTTGAAGTGCTGCGAGTCTATGGTCAACCTCCTCTAACTTAGCTACAGCCATTCAAAAGATAGCATGGCAACTGCAGATGCAGGAGACCCATCGACAGAACTTGAACCCCCTCCTCTTTCATTGAAGTCGCAGGTGTGTACGTTTTTTGGATTTCCAGTGAGTTATGTTGACAACGTTCGCGCTTCAAAAAAGCCACAGTTTACTTTGCAGACATCCCAAGTCTCGCGGAATTTCCGGGAGTCTCCCGCATATTGATAGCGGCTCCCTGATGCCCGCAAATTAGTTAAAATCTCCCGGAATCTAGAGTGAGCGAGCAAGAGCGAGCATGCGAGACAGAAAAAACTGTGCTCCAAAGTTCAAACCGTATAGCGCGCGCACGGCAGAGAGGGAGAGAGTGAGAGAGATCTTGCATATGTGCCTCATGAAGCGCATGTAAGAGAGCATCCTGATTGGCCGGTTTCGGCTTTAAAAAAATAAATGTAAAAATCGAGAATCGAATCGAACCGTGACCTTAGAATTGAAAATTTAATCGAATCGAGGATTTAGAGAATCGTGACACCCCTAGTGTATAAATACTGTATATATACTGTATATATGTGTGTATATATATGTTCTATATAATATATTTACACTTACCTTTTATGTTAAATGATTAATCGCAATTAATCTATTTGGGAGCACTAATGTGTGTGTGTGTGTGTGTGTGTGTGTGTGTGTGTGTGTGTATATACATACACACATACACACCCATACATCATCTATATATACCCAAATCATCAGATTACACTGCTCAGGCTGACCATGGTTTAGCGTTACCCATAGAGCCACTATGTCATCCAAGCTGCACTAGTCACAGTCTGCGTGTAGCTGTCCTCAGTGTTATGCTTATTGCTATGATTCAGCAAAGCCAGCAGAGCATAGTACAAAACACAGACAGAATGTTCTGTCTGCTCGCTGGATTACTGGAGCTATTTCCAGATAGCACTCTGTAGTTTTCTTTCTGCCACACATACACACACATACAAGGTTTTTAAGGGCTGCCTGCCTCTGGGGACAGCTGTGATCTCTCTGAGTTAGGCGCACTGATCCATGGCTCCTATACATTCATGTGTGAAAGCAATGATGGCTATATGTCTATAAGCCCAGAAGAGTTCTGGCCAGTTTTTGGAGTCATGAATTCTTAGATCCTAGAATGCTCTAATATTTGGATGCTGGAGTCTGGACTCCTTATGCCTTATACATACAGCAAACATGAACCGTGATGAAAGACCCTATCAGATCAAAAGCACTGTGAATAGCAGCACTGTTTTCAGAGATGGATCCAGGTTCTTGACAAGCTCTGGGTGTGACCATCCCGACTGTGTTTGACTGTGGGACATTATGTACTTTATCTGCTGTCGTATAGATAGTCTGTATGCTAAATGTATATATATAGACTCTTATACAGTATGTAAATGTGGGTCAGGAAAAAAAAGAGGAGATTATGTGTACAGACAGATCTGCTGTTGGTGTCAGTGCTGTGGGATATATTAGATTGAGGGATTTCTAGGACAGACATCAGAGAACATTCAGATTGCCCTAAACCACATACACACAGTTCAGGATGTCCTCATTTATTTGCCATATACGACACACATCATCGTCACACATGCTATATGTGTAATGCTCCTGACAATAATGCTGGTACAGTTTAGAAATATACAGTATTAGATAAATGTTGGACTAACTCTACATTATGACTGCATTTTAGAATAATAGTACAGTCATCAAAACTGAAATAACACAGTGAGGAAGGCTGGGAATTATGTAGTGACCAAAATATCAAAAACAGATCAAAGCTATCTCATGATTTTGTTGCCTCAAAGTAGTTACTTTTTTAAATTGAACTTTTGACTGGTGCTCACTGTTGTAGTGTAGAGTAACACAATTTGTGCACTATTTTTCTCTTTTAGGCAAAACTGGTCTTATAATTTGGATCAGAGAGGGAGTGATAGGAAGGTGATAATGCTATTTGAAGACGAAGATGGCCATGGTTATGAAATCTCTGACATATGACGAATGACGGCATATACAGTATAGGTTCGATTTGATTAGTTGTGTTGACAGTAAGTTTGGTTTTGATCTGAAAACTTGATAAGAGAAATTCTTTGATAAGAGGATTGAAAAAACAGGTTTTGAGAACTTTACCTTTGCATACCATATGTATATTAAGAGATAACATTTTCTATTGGCAAATTCTCTTTTGTTGCACCTTTTTTCATTGTGAATATTTGCATGGTAATCATGCTTATCAGTCGCAGATTCGAATCTCAGATTCAGATCATCAGATATAAATGACTTTTGGGAATCAGAATGTGTTCAGAACATATGATCTTATGATTGATATATATATATATATACAGTATATTGTACTATATATACACTGATGTATTATATAGTCGTTGTAATAAATATCTTTCTGGAGTAAACCAATTAACTATCTAAGTGTCCGATAAATGTAGTTATTGTCTCCCAAAAGAAAGAACCGATTCTGAACAGCCTGAAATGAGTTGTCAGTAATTCCACTCTTACTTCTTGCACGAACCTACGTAGGTTTGTAATATAGTCCTCATTAGCTGACCGTGAACAACATCTACTTTGACCCACCCTCAAACACTGTAGGTGTAGTTGAGGTCTGAAATAGTTTTGTTCGCATTGTCGACATGTTGAGAGAAGAATCGGTTTTCTGTGCTACGAAAGTTTACTATGCATGCACTTCCAAAGGATGTGATTGACATGGTAAAACCAGCACCATTGTTACTGTTCGTATCACTGTATACAAATGCTGAGGAAGGCTCTGGAGCTGAAATTCAGATATGGTAATGGCTGTTTAGGGCGACGACAAACATGACATATCATCTAAAAGTGGTAAGCTCACTTGTCTGCGTTAGCTTGCCCTGTCTGTTTTGAGTAGGCTATATGAACATTAGAATTTGCATATTTCAATGTTTTAGTGTGATAACCTAACTTTTTTTTTTTTTTTTGGAGCCTAATGTGCAATTGCGCTGTGCCGACTGTTTGTGTTAGTTTTGAGCCTAAGATGCTTTATTTTTCAGTTATGCACTTTATTTCGTTTCTGCTCTTGATCTGGTTTGTTTAATAAATATTCTTTTTTTTATTAAAGTGGATGTGCCTTTTGTGTTTATTAAGAGTAAAAGCTTTAAGTTAATAGTCTATTCGTGTCTCAGCCGCGAAGCTGAGCTCCTATGTTCAGCCTCGCTCTGTGCGAGAACATGCACAGAGCGGCTGAAATGATAGTGTCTGACAGTTATAACTTATTATTACAACATATGACAAAAATAATTGTCTAAATTATGTTGCATATTCCTCAACAGTTCTTGTGATGATATCATTAGTTGACAACATAGTACTATTTTCGGAAATCATAGGCTATGATATTGCGCAGGTGCACGTGATGCAACGCTGTCAGAGCCGACAGACTCGTGTGTCAGACTCATTTCAGTGCAAAATAATTAGGTCAAAAACGATTTAATATACTGCAAATAGCCTACTAGTTTTTTTATGTTTATTTATAATTCATTTAGGCGGACAACAAGGCTGCCAAGTACTGCGCACTGTGCGCAGCTAATTAATGTAACGTTTTTTAGTTTAACATTTTTAGTCTATTTTTAGTCGAAAATTTCAGGACTTCAGTCAACCAAGATTTTCTTTGGTTGAGTACAATTTCCATTACGCGCTGTAAGTGGTGGACCAACCACAACAGACTGAGCCATCTGACCAATCAGAGTTGGCTATCGGAAAGGAGGGGTTTAGAGAGACTGAATCCTTTATCGGACCGCTTCAGACACTGAGTAATTAGGTGAACCTGCAATGTATATTATGAGAAATTTAAAGTGTTTTTTGACCTTGAATCCATGTTAACATATTGAAGCCCTCCAAAACAAAGAAAGAACCTTTAAAATAGCATAATAGAGGCACTTTAATTGTAAGTTTTATGCTATTTTCATACTGTTTTATGTCTGTCAATTGCATCTTTAACGAAAACTAACATATAATAGACAAATAAATATATGCAGCAGCTTCATGACCCACGCACGTTAATTGAAAGCTGTACTGTACCACTAAACTAACACATGTATAGAACTACTAAGTTATTAAAAAGTGTTTTATTTTTTCTTCTTCCCCCATGTCTTTTCTTGCCAATGGCACCAAGTAAGCCGCCACGACTTCCATTGGTCCTTTCTCAGAAACACACAGACACATTGTATGCTTACATAACTTCATTCGCTGTGGGGATGCAAATTCAATACAGTGCAAACAGTACATTTTAATTCTTCCTCTCTCACACACACACACACACGCACTGAATTTGCAGTGGACTTTGGCCTGTACCAGATGGCTTCTGCTCTGCTACAGGACTGTCTCTGAGAGGGGAGGGCAGGAGAGCGGAGCAGAGGAGGGTGGGGGGTGGAAGAGTATGCAGAAAAGTGGCAGTGGTCTTTTCACTGAGCGTTTGTGTCTGGAGTGTTCACTAGCTTCTACCACACTCTCTCTCTCTCTCTCTCTCTCTCGCTCTTTTTGCTCAGGGAAGAGGTTTAAACTGGATTTAACTGAATGAGGAAAGAAAGTAAAGTGAAATAGAGGAGCAGAGCAGAACGTGTGTTGTACATGTTTTTCAGATATCTCTGCATGAATATAAAGAACGGTCCCCACACGGAACGGACGGCTGAAGTTGTGGAGTAGTGGGTAAGTATATTTCTGGAGTCTGGCTGAGTGTGTGTGTGTGTGTGTGTGTGTGTGAGTGTGTGTGAGTAAGTGTGTTTGTGAGGTTAGGTTTTGATACCATGAGCATGTTTTTCTCAGTACAGTTTTTCACTTCATGGCAATGGGAGGGTCTCAAGTTAGCACACAGGTTTTCTTCATCTAAACACGTGGCTTTAAATGTCTTAAACGTGATTTAAATGTAACAGTATTTCACTTTGGGAGGCTTATGATCAGTTTAGAAGGGTAAAAAGACTATATTTTTGCAGACAAGAATGTTTGATTTGCATGTACATACTTGATAAAAGTACTGTTGACATTATGTGTACTCTGTGAAATCTGTAAAAGTGAGAAATATTGGGATCCGTGTGCATGTGCTGTATGTGAGTTATGCTATATACTTGAATGAATGTCATACGAATTTATATGCATGCATGCATGCGTGTGTGTGTGTCGTATACTCATCTGGAATGTTTGCATGTGTGTTGTGGATGTGTATTAATCCTAACGGAGGGGTTGCTCACTGCTGCAGTGTATGATGGACTCAGCTGCCGTCTTTTTCCTCGTCTGTCTCGTCTGTGTCTCCTTTGTTCAGACGTCCAGACATCTACTGCATCCAGAAATAGAGACTCTCTCTCTCTTTCTCTCCCTAGTGTTTTGAGGGGCACACACAGAGACATAGTTTCAGACGGCATCAAAGCAGTTCCTCACAGCTGTCTGCATATGCCGTCGACTGATTGATAAGCCAAGCGATGCAAGAAAAAGCTCTGATTCGTTCTTATCGCTCCCTAATCCATACAATCGCTCCTCAGTTACTTGCTAAAGGGCTTTGAATTGTTTATGCTTATGCTGCATTAGCAATGTGTGCACGCAGCCTGCAAAAGTTGTCGGGTAACTTTTCTGGTTCAGGGGTGGTTGGATGGTAATCTGCATGAGAGTTTGAAAATATACAGCATGTCCAAAAGGATATCCTGAGGGGAAACCGCCTAAAATAGCCACACTTTTTAAACTTCATTTCAAACTCTTATCGCAAGTTTTGTGCTTATGGAGAACGAAAGAATCTGTGGCAGAGAAACTGATAAAAGACAGAAAGAAAACAGAGTGAACAAGCAGAAAGGGAGGTAGAGATACAGACTGAGAATGAGGGAGAGAAAAGGGCTTACTAGGAAGAGAGACACATGCGGTCTTTGCATGCCGTGCATTCTTAGTGGCTGACCCCTATGGAAAATAACAACAGGCACATGTGAAGGTCATGCAGTCATCATCCTCCCCTCTGACCACTTGCACACACACACACACACCACTGGTCATATAGTGGACTTTCAACACTTGCTTCGCTCACAAACCTTTCTGTCAGCACTTGATAAAACCTCCTTATTCAAGTCTTCATTGCTTTATTCGGTTACACTGAGAGAGAATGAGAAAAGTGGGACAAAATCAAACAGAGGAGGCACCTGTGATTTAAAGTGTTTCTTGTTGTATCTGATTCAGTCTGATCTCATCCCTTTCCTCCTTTTTTTAATCTGATTAGTTCTCAGGTTTTTTCTCAGCTGGCTCATACTGAGGAGCGAGAGGTCACGATGACTCCCATTGTGTTTGTGAAAGGAGATGATGAGGTCATGAGGGACTTTGGTCCTTCACAGGTCAAAGTTCAGATTACGGGCAGGCTGTGTTCTTGGTTGGATGCTGTTTTGAGTGGCTAAACTGAATAAGATGAACCCATTAGATTAGGTTATACTTAAATATGTAAATATACTTATATGATATTTATTTCTTGCCGTTTGTTAGAACGTGAATAAACTAAATGTTCTACGTTTTTCTTTATGAATGGACGATGATGCAAATTTTTTATTTGTTATTAGCATCCGTGGGATTTTTGTGAATACCCCTCCTTACCTTTGCTCTACTTCCGTCTTCCTGCGCTGTTACGCAATGTCTGAAGATTTCACACTCTGCCTTGTAAAAAATAAATTATTTAAACCACAGTGATCATATATAATTAATGAGAAACCATCTGCATATATATGATCTATATGAACTATTGCTATTTAAAAAGAACCATGCGATCTTCTGCTGAGATATATGAACTCAGTTATGTCAGTTTCACAATATTGAGAAAATTTAATTCTGATAATTTCATGGCATTTAGTTAAATTATTTTAATTTTACATTTCAGGCTCCGTGAAGTGAATTGGAGGCACTGCAGGGTTCACCACAAGATTTCAAAATAGTTGTTGATAGTGTAACTTGACCTCAGCCAATGGCGTCGCTCAGAGCTGCTTTAATCCCTCCCACATGTAAACAATGGCATGTTGCCCAGAGCAACTGCCAAAACCGCCATGCCTCATATGAACTGACCGAAAGTGCCTTTTCCCACCCCTCTCTCTCTCTCTCTTTGCCGTATTCTATTACTCCTTTTCTGCTTTCTTTCTGTTGTTAGTTCACAGGAAGAGAAAGAAAAGAGTTGCACCTGTAGTCAATGTGCTTTTGTGTTCGGGCACATGTATTCTCAGTTGTATTTGCTTTGATTAAACAACACATTTTTATTATTATTTTTTATTATTATTATTAGATCAATTGATTTATGTTATCCAATTTTTAATCCTTTCGGAGTTTTTATAGCAGACCAGGGTCTTTCTTAGCATGTTTAGTAGTATAAAAGTAAAATTAGGCTATATTATTATCTAGCTAAAAAAAAAGAAAAGAATAATTGCTTACAGTATCATAATTACTTTTATCTCATGTGGGCTCATCTTATTTATTGGGATACAAAGCAAGCAGGACTTCACTACTTGTGGTTGCCTTTATGAAGAAAAAAAACCAAGCATCATATTGCTCAATCCAATTAGCAATTATTGCTTGCTAAATTCAGAAGAGAAGAATGTGCCGACTGAAGCTCGACTATCAGCACGTGTAAAGTTGACTGTCCTGTCCATTAAATTCAGTTGTCAGCTTATAAATGCAAAGGAGTGTATGAGACTGTTTGAGCTAGATGAAGTCTGGCAGTCTGTATTTAAATTTAGTGTGTGGCAGCTAGAAGGGCAGCAATGCTGAAAATACATTGAGGACTATGTCTGGTTTTCGATTTGCTATTATTACAGATCCCAGATGTTTTTAGTTTCTATATGGTCAGAAACTTAACAGAGCATACAGCTCAAAAGTTTGGAGTTGGAATGTTTTTAAAGATGCTTTTGAAAGAACTCTCTTATATGATCAATTACACAGTAAAAACAGTAATATTTTGAAATTTAAATAACTTCATTTTATTCTTTTTAAATGCAAAGCTAAATCGTTCATTTCAGCATTTAAGCATAATTTCAGCAACATTACTCCAGTCTTTAGTGTCAAATGATCCCTCAGAAATCATTCTAATATGCCGATGTAATCGATCTAATATGGAGCTCAAGAAGCATTTCTTTTTATTGTTAATGTTGAAATCGGTTGTGCTTTTTCAGGATTCTTTGAATAGAAGTTTAAAAGAACAGCAATATTTTTAAACAGAAACATTATAAATGTCATTACTTTTCCGATCAATTCATCCAAAGTGTTTTCTTTAGGAAAAAAAAAGATAATTTTTTTACTGACCCCAAACTTTTGAACGTTAGTGTGTTTTACATTAGTACTGTTAATCTAAGATAGTATACTTAATAAAAGTAAACTGACACAACATACCACAATAACATAATGTAAAATATATTGCTCGAGGAACTCTCCGGAGATCTCTCTCCACACTCGGTTTCATTTGACGCACTAAACAGAAGTAGACTTTGTGACCTCATTATAATTGGCTAAACACTAACATTAATGACGCAAGTAGGTGACAGATGTAAGAGCTGTAAGATCAGGAGGAGAATTCGGAAGAAAACAGGACAGATAAACAGAAAGCGAGACTTTGAATCTGACACGGATAGTCGTGTTGTAGATGAAGAAAGAGAGAGTGAGACAGAGATGCCTTGGGCTAAGTCTGACCCAGCTGTGTAAAAATACCATCTATACACTAGGGCTGGGCGATAAAACGATAACGATATGTATCGCGATAGACACGTGAACGATATCAATAAAAAATGTGTTCGATAAAACGTTCGATAATTTTTTTTTTTCCTTCGTCGGAAGAAACCACAGGTTGCGAAGCAAGTTTGGTTGCATTAACAAAGGCACTCGCTCTCTGGTAACCTAGCAACGTAGGGAGTGACAAGCTCAGGCAATCATGTAACGTGTCAGTTTGGTTGCGCCATATACATATTTATTATGTCTATGGGTTGCGCCATCGAAAAAAAGGTTGTTTGCGCCATCGTTGTCTCGTGCTGCTGCTGGGTTCCTCATCAGTAACCGGCGATTGATAAGCAGAAAATGAGTGCCCTTCATCTGCATGCCATGCAGGCTAGAATTGCGAAACATTATTGGATAATTCGCTCTATTCGCGTTTGATGTGAACACAGTATAATGAACAGGCTGCGATGTCAAGATTGCAATGTGTGTGTGTGTCCGCGCGCGCGAGAGAGAGAGGCACGAGAGAGAGAGACACGCGGGCGCGATCGAACAGTGGAGACATAAAAACATACTCCGTCATTTTGTTAATACAGGACATCAGTCAGTCTGCAAAGTGTTTACAATATTTGTGTAGGCCTATACTCGCAATAAAACACAACATTGTCCTTTTGTCACACTGTATTTCTTGTCAAACTGTAGCCTACAACTGTACACACCGTTTTAAAAGCAAAACATATTTATTCAACCCCTTTGTAAAACAGTCTGTGTTCCATCTTTTGGACATTCATCATATGGCATTGGTTTTCATTTCTTGCCCTCAAAACAGAGCACTAATCTCTTTATTTTGAAGTTACACATTGATTAAAAAAGAAAATTAAATTTGTTGGTAGTATTATTTTATACGGAAATCAATTATTTATAATTCTGATGAGAATAAAGTTAGGGTTAATTAAAATTAAGGAAAACAAATATATTGATCTGAAATATAGCAAATT